GCCCATGAGACGACGGTCATTCCACTGAGCCACACCAGCCAGGCTACCGTGCAACCATTTTAAATAGTGGAAGAGTTAGGGGCACTTTTTTCTTGAAAATTGAGGAGAGCTTTAGGTGGTTTTGTTTTATAAATATACAAGAAATTCTAACTCTCAAAGAACACGAGAGGATGTAGTGAACAGGGAAAACGCTTGGCTCTTGGGAAGTCCAGAGCGAGCACCCTCATGCCTTCCTCTTACTGCCTGTGTGTGCTCCAAATTGGAAAAGCACAACTGGCTCAGATCTGAAGAGCTGAAGTGTTGATTGGTTATTTTCTAAAATGGTTCATTTTCTGAACCACTTCCTACTTCCTCCACCTGATCTTACCTGAAGCAGCATCTCAGCTGGTTTTTCTAGTTGTTAGTTTTGTGATCCCTTGGTTGAAATAATTTTAGGTAAATTACGACTTCCTGAACATACGGTGCACTCCGTTGAGGAAAGATTTGTTTCATATCCTTTAAATTGTACTCCACATATTTTTAAACCCCTTTGATTTTCGTGATTTAGCTGACTGTGTAGTTAATGGTATATATTTCTTGATTGTGAAAGAAAAGCAATAGTTTCAGATGCATGTGTCTTCTTTCAAATTTAGATCTCTATGTAAGGCTAATTTAGTTCTTTCCAATAAACTATTTTAGGTCTTTTTATGAAAGCAGGAATTAGAACAACTGACATTCTTTATAAAATATCACTCAGTGCCCTGGCCAGTGTGGCTCAGCAGGGAGAGCGTTGGCCCAAGCACCAAAGGGTCGCAGGTTTTTGATTCCAGGAAAGGGCATGCACCTGGGTTGGAGGTTCAATCCCTGGCCTGGGTCAGGGAGTATGCAGGAGACAACCAAGCAGTGTGTCTCTCTAGCACTGGTGTTCCTTTTTTTCTCCCAATCTTTCCCCCTCGCTCCCTTCCACTCCCTCAAAAAAAATCAATGAGAAAAATATCTTTGGGTGAGGATTAACAAAAATAAATAAATAAAAAGCTGCTTAGTATAAAAGTAACTCCAATGAAATTATAATTACTCTGTAAAATTGAAAGCAGAAAGCGCCTAAAAATTCATGAGTATAAAATAAAATATGCTTCAATTAAAATTGTGTGCAAAGCCGACTTATTTTAGAACAGAACTTAGACTGTTATGTTTACATCGAAACAAGTCCCCAAACAGAAAGTTCTAATTACAAAAAACATTCTTTGAAATGATGATAAATGTATTTACTCTAATTGGTTAACAAATAACTCATGAGGATTAATAGTGTGTTCAGTAATATACTTCTATTCTGTAGCTTACTTGTGCTGGTAAATCCATCAAACTCGTGGTACGTGTGATGTAAAAACCAAGTCATGTGGCCTGAGAGGTCGTGTGCAGTTAGTTAAGGGTTAATATAGTGAGCGGGAATAGTATTTCTCAACAGGATCACTGTTGGCATTTTGGGTGGGATTTTCTTTATGCTGTCAGACTTTAACCCTGGATAATATTAAATAGTGATTGGGGCATCTTAATATTATCTGAGTGGTACAGCCGCCAATCAAGATCTACTGGTACAGAGCAGGAGGCTGGCAAACTTTTTCTGTAAAAGGCCAGATACCAAATATTTTCAGGTGTGGGCCATGCAGTCTCTGTCCAACTACTCAACTCTGCTATTGTAGCATGAAGGCAACCATAGACAATACAAAAAAAAAAAGACAGAGAATAACTGTGTTTTAATAATACTTGATTAACAAAAGTAGGAGGTGGACAAATTCAGCTTTGGCTGACCCCTTCACATGTATCACCAGTCCACCAATTTCAGTACAAGGAATGCTATTTGAAAACAGTCGGTCGGCCTTGGCCGGTTTGGTTCAGCGGTTAGAGCATCGGCCTGCGGTCCAGAGAGACCCGGGTTCCATTCCCACTAAGGGCACGTACCTTGGTTGCAGTTTGTCCCAGCCCTGGTTGGGTCGTGCGGATGACAGCCACTCGATGTGTACCTTTCATGTCGATGTTTCTCTCTCTCTCTTCCTCTCTCTCTCCCTCCTGCTCTATCTGAACAACAACAACAACAACAAAAAAATGAAAACAGTTGGTCATATTATGTCAGGTAGGAGGGTTTGGCCTGCAAATAACATAGAATCGTATTTATAAGCATACTTTGCTTTGTTGCACCTCACAGGTGTTGCATTTTTGACAGACTGAAGGCAAAACCCTCCACCACCCAAAATATTATGATTTGCTTTTTTATGTTCTGGCATTGGATGCTCAGTATTGTTGAGGTATGCCCGGGCTGTTTGTAAAGCCAGGATAGTTGTAGTCCTGGCTAAATGAATATATTGTTGTCATAAGAGACCAACGTGCCTTTCTTCCTTCTACTCTCTTATCCTCTGCTCTTTGTCACAGTAGTGTCACAGGTAGTAACAATCCTGCAGAGGGAAGAGTAACACATCTATCTAGTCTCCTGAACTCCCCACGTCTATCTAGTCTCCAGAACTCCCCAGCTGATGTGTTGTCAGACTTCATTTCGGAGCAAACCCAAACTTGAACGAAGAGATGCCAAAATGGAAATTTCAGTTATGGACAGTCGCACAAAATTGCCATAGAATAATTATGATTCTCTTTCTTGGGCTGGAGAAGGATCCAGCCCTGACCTGAGCCTGTGGATATACTATTTGAAGACACTGAGATTGTGTTTAAGAGAAAGTGTAGCAGGCTGCGAGGGGTTACTGGATGAAGATTTGGACAATACAATATTTTTTGTGTTAATTATATTATATTTTAAATATAATTCTGTCTTCAGTGCTATTTGAAGCCGTTGATTTTCCTCTGTTTCCCATGTAGTCAAAGGGAGCATTTCATGCATTCCTGTCTTTGGTCAGAGAGGAGGGAGGCTTGTGGACAGTGGTTCCACCCGTCGATTCCTGGTTATCTCTCTGTTCTATTGAGGAGCCTGGAGCATGGCGATCCATGCCTTCTGTTGAGAGGTCATGAAGTTTAGTATTTAAATTTGGTTAACAGGGATTCCGTGGTAGTCTTTCAGGAACCTCTTAATCCCTTCGATAATCATACATAATATATCATGTTTTGTATTATAAAAAGTGAAAGTAATCTGTTGAAAAGCATTCACACTGAAGTGTTAATAATTATTTGTTTTGGTGCTAAAGGGAACACAGCAATCCATCTGGTTCTTTCAGGAGCACGAAGGTGCTGTACTACCATTTCAGATGGAGCAGGTGATTTGCCAAGAGAATCATTTGGGTAGCTGGGAGATAAAGATGTACAGAGAAACCGGATTTCCCACTTCCTGTGCTGTGTTCCTTGTGTTAAGTCAGGCCATCCGTTCCTGCGGCAGAGTGCCCGCTCACAGAAGACCTTACACGTGTCGGTATGCACGGCTCTAATTCAAGTTATGGATTTTTTCCTGGAGCTCTTTCTGAATTTTGAGCTGTCAGTATTGGGTTGAACAAATACATTTAGATGCACTCGTGTGTACTTGAGTGACTTTTGAAGAATGACACTGCAATATTTTGTGGGTAAATGTGTTCAAGAGACTTTGGTTCACATCCCATCAGTGGGAATAGCTGCTTGTTTTATGCGAATTATATACTTATTAAATTTAATTAATATTACATTTCTGGTCCTGACCTGAAGATGCTCAACATTCTAGTGAGAAAGAGCAGATGAATGAACAATTAAAATAGTGTGTGACTTATAGTACAGCACAGGAAGTGATGTGCCCTGACAGCAAGGGCGGGGCTGAGCAGGTCAAGAAATGATGCCTGAGTTGAGTCCCAAAGGATAACTGAGAATAAGTCAAGTACAGAAAACAGAAGGAGTTTCCCTGTAGATGGAGTGACGGGGGCAAAACCTTAAGACCTCAGAAAGTATGGAAGTTGGGATGAATGCTGAGCAGTAGGTCTATCCTGGAGATCAGTAAATATCGTTGCAACTTTATGCTTAGGCAATGGGAGTCATTAGAGACTTTCAACAGAGAGTGACATGGCACAATTCCTATTTCAGAAAACCCAATAAGGCTGCAGAATAGAGGAGCCAATAGAGGGGGCTAAGACAGGAGGCAAATGACCAATCAAGAGGCTGTTTCAACAATCAGAGGAAGAAATGATGAGAGCCTTGGTTAAGTCAGTGTTGACAGAGAAAAAAAAAGAAGTGGTGTTTTTGAAACATTGGAGATAGAATTTATTAGAGTTGATGAACCTTTCAATGTAGGACATAAAAAGAAAAGAGAGAGAAAAATGACACCCACATTTCTGACAGGGCTTGACAGAGAGTGGTTTTGTTCATTGAACTATGAATACAGGGGGTGGACCAATTTGGAGTAAAGATGATGAGTTCACTCTCAAGGATGTTGATTTAAAATGTTTAGAAACTTAGTAAATGGTTACATATAGGAAGCTGGAATCAGGCAGGAGCTCTGAGCTAGAGAACTAGATTGGGGAGTTTTCAGCATAATGTAAGCCATTGACATGAATGAGACCACTCAGAGACTGTATGTAGAGCAAGGAGAGAGAAGGGACAATGATGAAGTTTAGGGTACCAAAATGAAGGGCATGGGGATTGAAGAGGAAGTCACCAAGAAGACTAAGAACAAGATGCCAAGAGGTAGAGGAAGAGGAAGAGTGATATCTTTAAAGCCAAGGGTACAGAACAATGTTAATATTGTCAAATACTGCTGAGATGTCAAATAAGATAAGTGAAATGGGGCCACTGGATATTTTGAGGTGATTTATTTTTAAATTTTTATTTAGATATGGAATCTGTGATCATTACAAAAGCTGAATATTTACACATATACACACAAACATATGTAAATACATATGCATGTATAATTATGTATAATTTAAGAATTGACCTAAATCCTACCACCCAGCGTAATTACTGTTAAATTTGCAATATATATCTTTCCAGACTTCTTCTCTACGCAAATATCTTCTCTATTTAGATATGCGTCTATTTATAACAAAATGAATTTCTACTATAAAAATATGAGACACTACATGCATTTGCTTGTCATTCTTTTCCAGAGACCATGCTGATCTTCTCCCCATGGCTTTCCAATTTTAGCATGTAAGCTGGTGAAGCACACGGTGTCCATTGAATTAAGCAACTAGGAGATTATGTGTAATGTTGCAAGGCTCATTTCAGTGGGATTGTGAGGGCAGTACCAGATTGTTGTGCGACAGGGAATAGGGGGGGATAGAATGAGCATTATAGACCACCCTTTCAAGAAGCCAGGCTGTGGAGGGGAAAAAAAATACAAGATATTAAGGGAGGAGTAGAATGGAGAAATTTTTCTTTGTTTTCATTTTTCAATTGGACAGGACTGTCCACTGAGTAGAAGGAGCCAGAAAAGGGGGAAAACATTGATGATAAAAAAGAGAGGCTGGGATTGGTAGACTGAGGCATGAGAAGGCAGACAAGAACAAAGCATAAGAAAGGGAAACAAGCCCTATTTTCTTTTTTCCTTAAATATTTTTTATTGATTTTTAGAGAGAAGGGAAAGAAAAGAGAGAAAGAGATAGAAACATCGATGAGAAAGAACATCTATCAGCTGCTCCCTGCATGCCCCCCGCCCCCACTGGGGATCAAGCCTGCAATCCAGGCATGTGCCCTGGCTGGGAATCAAACCTGTGACTTTTTGATGCATGGGTCGATGCTCAACTACTGAGCCACACCAGCTGGGCACAAGCCCCATTTTGAATAAGGTAAACGAGAAGCAGGTGAGCGGGTGAGAAAAGATTGTGATGAGTTTATGGAAAGGTTACCTGAGGTGATCCTGGTCACCTCAGAGGGAATGTGGCTGATGCCCACATATATTTAGTTATTTGATAATGGTTGAACTTGCTTGAAACAAAGAATTACTATATTGAATAGTTTTGTGGTCTGTCCGTGTGCATTTTGAGATTGGTGCCAAGAAGTGCATGTGAGAAAGGTCTGGTCTTCTCTGACAACCTGAAAGGTAAGGAATGACCCCCAAATTTAGTTACCTTAGACAATCTATTAGGGATCTGTTATCCCCATATTTCTGTGAAGAGACTTGAAGCCGTATATTTTCTTAAGTTGCCTGCCCCCCGAGACCTGCTATCTGTGAAATAAAGTGACCTAGGGAAGTTGCGTTGCTTGTTGGAACAGATCCCGGTTGAATGCCATTAACCTTGGGAAAGTGACTTAACATTCTTGCACTTGGGTTCCCTTATCTGTAAAATAGTAACAATAATACACTTTAGCCAGGGACCAGGAGCGTTCAATGAAATCTTTGCTGTTACAAATGCAAATATGAACTAAATGAAAAGGACTACTAGTTTGAAATGTACTGGTTCAACAGAGAACTATTTGCATTTTCTAAACACCAGGGTACATTTTATTTTTGTATTTACAAAAATATATCACTTGGAGATTCTTTTCGGGCCTATAAGTCTAAACTTAAATGCCACAGATGAGCCGAAGGAAACCTGGGTTATTGTTTTCCTTTTTCACATATGAATTTTTATATTAACAAGCTTAATAAGGTGATTTAGCAGGGGGTATATATGCTGAGCATCACTAGTGCTGAAATATCTATCTTCATTATAGAAGACTTCTAAACAAATATAATTGCTATAATGTGTTATGACCTTTTAAATCTGGTGATTCATTTGCAAGGGGCAAGGGTAGCACAATGCAGGCAAATCATCTTCCATTTACTGGGGCTGCCACAGATGTACATATTAGACCTGGGAATAAGCTATTTTCTGATGGTAAACTGAAAGAAACAAGGGAATTAGGTCTATATAATTTCTCCGTGATTCTGTAACTTAATTCTTTATTAACAGACCAGCATGTTTATGAATTTAACACTGAATTTTAAAATAAAATAGAACAACCTACTAGAACTTGCTTAAAAAATACAAGTTTCTAAGTACTAAGTGTTCTTATAATCACTATCAATGTAAAATAGCTTTTACCTAAATATTGTTTTTATTTCTTTATATAATACTTTAAAATTTTTTCATTGATTTTTTTTTTTTTTTTTTTTTTTTTTAGAGAGAGAGAGAGAGACACTGATTTATTGCTCCATTTATGTATACATTCGTTGATTGATTCATGTATGTGCCCTGAGCAGGGATTGAACCTGCAACCGTGGCGTATCAGGATGATGCTCTAACTAACTGAGTAACTGGAAAGGGCCCTTATATTGTTTCTTAATATTATGATTACTTTGTCCTCTTGATTCCTCATTCTGGGGTTACCTGAATGCTTGTTTTATAATCTTGCTCATTTTTTGTCTTCAGCATTTTTCTGGCCACAGTTCAAAAGGGCATTGATTATTTCACCATTAATTTGTTGCCCAATATCATTCCATCAATACCAGAAAAATTTGATGCTGTTGGTTACTGCATTGTCACCTGATCTAAGTGCCCAGTTGAAACAGAAGGCTAATGACCCTACCATTGCCTATCCCCAGCTGAGCTTCTTCTTAGGGTACTTCTGTCTTGGTGGACAGTTCCTGCTTTTCCAAACCAATGAGTGAGAGCAAGTCTTATTTCACCTTTCAGCACTGATGTTTTCCATAGCACCCATCTGAGCCTCAAACACATTGGGTAGTTAGTACACATGCACTGAATGAAGGAATGGATGAATAAGTGAATGAAGGAAGGAAGAATTGGAGCATATGGGATTTAACTTCTCTGTTAGGGTATTGAAGGTTTTCTGAGGAAACAAAACCACTTTTTGTTTTGTTCTTCAGATAAAAATCTATTTGCCTCTACAGTGGTACATCCTGATTTGAAAAATATCTTTTCTGCATAAGAACATTGGTGGTGCATTTTTAACTGTTGTCAGTGTGTGTGTGTGTGAGAGAGAGAAAGAGAGAGAGAGAGAGAGAGAGAGAGAGAGGTTGTGAGACTTGAACTTGGCACAGAATCAAGTCCACAAGTACTCATAACATTTTTACTAAATGCCCAGCACTATGGTAATCATTGTGAAGGGGCCAGAGTTCTTGTCCCTGAGTGTATTAGGACAAATTTATATAAAGAAGATAGAGATCAACACAAGGCAATTTGTATTTAATTAAATATTATGTGGTAGTCATTCTAATGAGATGGACTTCAGACAAGGGAAAAGCAGGCCTTGTGGACAGACAGCATTGTGGGTCAGTGAGGAGACAGACGCTGCCTAAGAAGTACTGTGAGCCAACGTGTAGAGCTTGAGTAGTTCCTGCAGGAAGTTCCTCATGGGGAACTTGGCAGTGAATCAAATGTCACAGTAGATTCACTAGTTTGTTGAAGGAAGCCCTGAGTTTCTTTTTCCTGAACAAAAATGACACCTAGTTTTATCTTTTTTTTTTTTTTCCTTCATTGACTTTGGAGAGAGGAAGGGAGAGGGAGAGAGAGATAGAAACATCAATGAGAGAGAACATCGATTGGATTGGCCGCCTCCTGCATGCCCCACACTGGGGATTTGGCCCCCAACCCGAACATGTGTCCTGACCAGGAATTGAACTGACGACCTCTTGGTGCATGGGTCGATGCTAAACCACTGAGCCACACCGGCTGGGCATGACACCTAGTTTTATTTATTTATTTATTTATTTATTTATTTATTTATTTATTTATTTATTTGGTACGTGCCCCTAGTAGGAACCGAACCTGGGACTCTCTGGTCCGCAGGCTGACACTTCAACCTCTGAGCCAAACTGGCCAGGGCCATATGTTTTGTTTTATTTATTTATTTATTTATTTATTTATTTATTTATTTATTTATAATGACACCTAGTTTTAAAACATAATAAATAAAATTAGAATTGAAACTAGTTTTTTTAAATAAGTAAGTAAAAGAAACCTGAATATTAGTTACTTCTCTAAACCATACCAAGATATCATTTATACCGAACAAAGAATACATCCAAACTTTGTCTGAAAGACATTTTTCAACTATTACTCTCTAGGAAATGGATCCCACTATTAAAAAGATAAAAAATGAATCCTTGCAAAGAATTAGATATTTGGATCATATTTTATATGTGCACTCCTAGTCAAACATTTATGAAGGACCTGACACCCTAATCTATTCTAGAGATGGTAGAAACAAAGGAAAAGTCTTTATTTGTGCACTAATGAGTTTATAATCTAGTGGCCTATGTAAAACAAATGGCAATTTCTTAATAATGAGCCAGTTAAGAATAAAGTAAGATCTTCTATGACTGATTATAAATCCAGTAGCAATTTAGGGGTTATGGAGAGGACACAGCATGAGAATGTCAGTATTTGGATATTGGAGAAGGAAAAGGAAGGTGTCCCTGGTAGGAACTTTGGTCTAAACATGACTAAAGCAGAAGACTTACGTTAAAAAAATAAGATCTGATAGACCATTGTCAGCTGTTGAGTGCAGTCCTCGTTACAAAGAGGTCCTGGGACTCATTGAAGAAGAGAGTTAAGTAATCATCTTGGTCCCCTAGAAAGGGAGTGTTTCACATAAGTACTTTGGACTGAATTATACTAAAGAGCAAAAGATAATGAGAGCAATTTGGTGGTTATTTTGCTGTAATCTGAATATGAAATGTTGAGATTCTGTTGAGGATTAGCGTTATCTAGTCCTTGCTTGTGGAATTCTAATTTACAGGAGGTTAGACACACACAGGCTAAATTAATTGCCAAAGACGCTGTGTTCCTATGAAATAATTTGAAATTACTTTTGGACTCTAAAGATAAAGCCTCGGAATATGTTCTCTGAAATACTAACAGTTTTTATTTTCAGTTTTTGAAATGTATTGCTCAAATCTGAATTGCACTGTTGCTGAAGGACAAGAGGCAGCAGAATGATGTTACTTAACCTTTTGTCAAGTATATTTTGAAAATCTGTGTCCCAGTGGGACTTTGGAAACATAGCATTGCACATAGAATAAGCACTACGTACCTGGTGATCACTTATGTGCACACCTGGGTGGAAAACAAGCCATAATTTAGGAGTAGATTGAGTCTGTTGATGCTCCGAAATGAATTTAAATGATGAGGCTATGAATGTAGTGAAAAGCAAGCAAATGAATTTGACAGATACTCGCTTTCATTTTGAATGTCAAATTACTGAGTGTCTATTAACATTCTCC